GGATTGTCCTTAACCATAAAAGATTCAATAATCGATTAAATATATTATACTGTTTTCAAAGTTTACAAATTAAACATGGATTAATGTATTCCTTCCAAATAATATATTGAAAAGAAGTAGTCCATTCATCACTCTTCAAATTGTCGTAAATTAATAAATTCTTTATTTTTAGATTTATTTTAAAAATCATAAAAATTCTTAATATTTGCACTAAATATGAAATTAGATTTCACTTATAAACATTAACCTTCAAAAGGTGATGGTATGATACATTAGTAAAATAAATATATTAATAGTATTTCTTTGTCTTGGTTACACATATACAAACTTTATTGGCTTTTGAAAGCCTTTAGTGAGAGAATTAATTTATTTCGTTTTTGGGTGCAAAAAGAAAATCTACCGTATATCTGTGGTAGACATATTTCATAAATAAAATTTGAATACAAAATAGAAAAGATATTGTATAATAACAACAATGTATAGACTTCAAACATATATATTTATTTCCTTTATGGTTGGAATGGTTCTCAGCATCAGTATTGCCGAAGAAAATCAAACAATTTCGACTAACATCCATTCATTAAAAGGTAAGTAAAAGTGTCCACAAGAGAAGCAAATATTGAATTATTCTAACAAACAATAGCTATCGATGAAAAAAATCTAAAAGGATTTTCTAGTTCTTCTAACCTGTCAAATAGTGAAGACATTGAAAATTCATATGACAACCATAACCCTAATGAACGTATTCCTGATAAGTGTTCTAAAGAGGTTAATCATATTCAAACTTCAGCAGACATGAACAATATTAGAGATTGCAAAATCATTACTGGAGACATTGTTATCAATGATTATAAGGAACCCATTATAGAGTTTGGTGATATAATGAATATATTCGGAAATTTAGACATACAACGTGCTTCAAGCTTGGTAAGAATTGAGGCAGACAACGTCCATAGAATCGGAAACAGATTTATATTAAAAGACTTAACTTCGCTTAATTCAATTTCATTCGCATCGTTGCGGTATGTAAAGGTTATCGAATGGAAGGTGTTACCAATATTGAATGTTGCCAATTTTGGCAATGCAATAAAAGAAACCGAGAGTGTGACAGTTTCAGACACCTCTTTAGTTGAATTTCCAGGATTCTTATCTAATAAGTTGGAAATCTTAGATATAAACAATAATCGTTATCTTGAATCCATCCACTGTAATGTTGAAAAGATTACTGGAAGATTACATATTGCCGCCAACTCAAGAGATGTTCAAGTTTCATTACCCAAATTACAGTCTGCAAAAAATGTAAGCATCCATGAGGTTCTGGATCTTGATTTGAATAATCTTGAAGAAATCGAATCGTCCATTAATTTTGTTAATAACCTTTTTATAAATTTGAGTTTGCCCGTTCTCAAGTCTATCGGAGGTACTTTAAGTTTGTTGAAGAATGAGAATCTTGGTAAAGTAGAATTCCCTAATGTAACAGAAATTGGAGGTGGATTAATGATCGTTAATAATACCAAAATTGATAGGATTAATTTTTACCCTAAATTAACAATTATAGGGGGAGCCATTGAATTAGTGGGTAATATCAAGGAAACAAATTTGAAGAATCTAAAATTAGTTAAAGGAAGTGCAAAAATTAAGTCCAATGATAGCTCATTTGATTGCACTAAGTGGACTAAAAGTGAACTTAGTTCAGTAATCAGAGGAGGTAAAATAGAATGCATTAATGCTAATAATGAAAGAATAACGGCGGATACTCCAACTGAAGGAGGAAATAATGATACCACTGATAATGATGAGCACAGCATAAAACTAGCCTCGAAGGGTTTGTCTTTGGATGCAAAAGCGAATTTTAAATATATCTTTTTCTTATTTCTTTTGATAATAATCACTTAGACAAAGATATGCATTATTATTCTTTATTCTTTTATTTATTCGTTTCCTTTTCTAAATACCTTGCTATATTAAAATCGAACAAAGATTGAACCGCTTTCATCATATACCTCGATATTAGTCTTTATAGATACCTTCATTCGCTATATAATTTTTAATATCAGGAGTTACTTTATTGAACCATTCTTCATTATTATGACTAATATTGGACCTTATACTCGAGGAACTTATTTTACTTAATTCTAATGATTCATTGTGACTTAAAAATATATTAGAAGACCAATGTTTAGGGACTCCATCTATATCACCACTTGCAATAGAGTCCAAGTAATCAAATTGATTCTCTAAAGAAATAGAATCATCAGATCTAGTAAGGCAGAAAAGATCTGAAGTTTCGAAAAACCCACCCAACGCACTTGCCAAACTATTAGGAACATAATATTTCGGGTTTAGGATTCTAATCAAGGTATCAAATCCAACTAAAAACGATAAGCGTATACTCGATATTGAAAGTTGCTTATCATTACTCAAATAAGAACAAATGGCTTTTGATTTATCGACAAATTTAGCATGATTGGTTAATCCCACTTTAACATCAATTTTCAACGATTCATGAATATGATCGGCTAATTTAAACATCATTTCAATTCTATGATGAAAAGATGCTGGCTGAGGGGTTAATTTATCAGCATTATTAACTGATAAAAGGAGCAAAACCATCTTATTATGTGATGGTGAATCATTATAGTTGCATATTAGTGATTCTTTCACTAATGAATAATGCCCTAAATGTGGAGGATTAAAGGATGAATCAAGCACACAAATACGTCTTATTCTTCCTTCAAATGTATTTGAAGGGGTGCTGTAAATGACCCTAAACGCCGATTTACTATTTATAAAGTCTTGCAATAATTTTGACATGGCTAATATATATTATGTTGATATATAATTTAGTGAGATTCACTTGCGCTGCTATTGAATATATTGGGGATATACACCTATATTTAATATTTTATTATACAAGCTTCTTCTTGAAGACATATAATTCAAAGCTCATCATGATTACTAGAACCAGCAATGTCTACCAATTCAGCAACAAAAACTAAATCTGTTAGTACTCTATTATTAGAGATTGTAGTTGAAAATCAGGCATAAAATAAAACGTACCAAGAGTCGCTTTTGCAGGGATAGGACCAACGCCCCTATCTCCGTACGCTAAATGGGAAGGAATTGTTAATTTTCTCTTTTCACCGATACACATTCTAGTCAATCCCTGATCCCAGCCTTGGATAACTTGACCAATACCCAACTGAAAGGAAATTGGCTGACCTCTCGAATATGACGAATCAAAGACAGTTCCATCCTCTAATTTTCCTTCGTAATGGACACTAATAAGATCACCAGGCTTTGATTTAACTTTGCATTTATCTTCAGGTACTGAAGTCAAAATTCCTATTTTGTTAGTATATCTATATAATTAAAACAGCTTTATTTGACATACCAATCTGAAGCTCACTTGCAAAAGCAATTGCAGCAAGGAAGAGTAAGTAGAGAGATTTTAATAACATGATTTGTCTGATTAAGAGAATGATTCTTTTACTGTGTAGTAATATTGATAATTAAGTCGCAACGAAATTGAAATTTGCGATCCAATGACACTAAAAACATAACAGAAGGTTTTTATCATATAGCATTACGCCAGAACATATCTACTACGAAAAAGAGTCATATGATAATAATCTATTGTACAAGTATATAATTAACCAAACTAAATATTTTCAAAGTAATTTTATACAAAATTTATACCCTTCGTAAATTAAACCCCATAAACCAAACACATAAAGCAAACAAATAGATAAAAATATTAATTTACAAAACAACGACCATTTTCTAACTCATCAATGGTCGTTTCAATAATTTCGTCATCATCATCGTCTTCCACCAATTCAATAGTAGCGTACTTAATCATGTCCCATCTTTTCCAGAATGAAATAACATCAGTCAAATCATCAGAATCAACAAGATCTTGCAAAAAGTACTTTGCCTTGGTTAGACGATCCTTCAACGCTTGTAGCGAAGAAGAATTCGATTTATCACCTGTGGATACAGATGATTTCTGTGACTTTGCTATTTCAAAGTCACTTTCATAATCGGTAATATCAGTTGTATTACCAAGATAGTCTTCATCGTCAGTTGCAATAGACGAAGGCGTATTGTAACCATATACTTCATCCTCAACAGATGTAGTTACATCACAATATCTTGCCCATGCTTCATCAATTGCACCAACTAAGTACTCGAAACAACGGGAACGTGAAGACTTATCATCACCAGAAACAACCTTCTTGCCTAGATCGGACGATGTACTCATCTTTCTGGTGTTGTTAATGAGAGTACACCCACTAGTAGATGTACTGTCGTTGGCGTCATTATCTTCCTCGTCATCACTGTACTTCGAAACTGCTCTGCACAACTCAGAGTCCATGCAGAATGAAACCCTAGTCGATGCTCTTCTCTTGGCCTTTACTTGGTCAGCGTTGTAGCACGACTGCTCATCAGATGAATCATCATTCTGATCGTCTGATGAAGAGTAGCACGCAATTGACGTAGGTAAGAGACTGCCACATACTTTCTTCGATATAGCAGGGCCCTGGAATGAGCTGCGACGCTTAGTTGCTTTGTTGTTGAATACTGGTGAACATAAAGCCATATTAACTCTTAATGTCCTGGCTGTAGTGTGTTGATTATATAATTATACCGTAATCAAGTGCGAAATCAAACGTCGTGCGATTACCTCAAATATACAATAGCACAAAATGTTTAAGAACTGGCAATGCACAAACTCTAGAAACGTTTGGTACAGATATGCCGGCAAATAAAATGTTCTCCCTGAACGTACCAATAAAGGTGTCAGCAAACAAATGAGCGGCTAGGTGAAACTAAAGATTCGGAAAAAGCCTCTGAATCAATCTACCAATAATATAAGTATTCAATACTGATATATTATTTAATAGATGAAAAAGTAGTATAGGTTAATATAAATAATATGTTATATATTAAATATACCTATAATAAAGGGGGTTTGAAATGTGTGAACAAGAACTAAAAACTGTGAAAATTAAATCCGGATTTCTGAATGACTTTAATGTTGTGACCAAAAATTCAGGAATCAGCAATTTATTTAATACCGGCATGGAAAAGAGACCGGGTAACTATTTATTGGTTACCCGCACGAAATATAGAATCGTGATTGGCCAAGCTTCCCACAAGGCCGTTTCAAGGCCTGCTCAAATAGGAGATAACTTTTTCTATACCTTAACGGGATAAATATAACGTAATCAGAATAAACTTGCTAATTCAGAATTAGAACATCCAAACATCATAATTATAAGGCACGAACACAAATGAGGGATTGACTTTTAATGGCAGACGAGTGCTACAGTCCCTTGGATTAGCATAGTGTGATCAATGAGTATGTATCATCAGCGAAAAAGAACCAACCCATCGTAGAGACTTAATAATTACAGTCATCAAATAGAAATTTGTCTTATTCAAATAATCCTAATAGTGAAAGTATTTGAAGTAATCATTTTTGCTGCAACTCTTTAAAATCATTCAAAATTCATCTAAGAACTGCTCTGCTATTTTCAACATAGATAACGAATTGTTGGATGTAGCAGACTGCACAGGAGTCTTCGAATTCGAATTGGAATCGGAATTCGAGTTGAACGAGTAATTAGATGATGAAGATAAAGGAGCCGATGGTTGCGAAAAGAATTTTGAATACCTGGGATCGGACTTCTTGTCGATGGTGGACTCCCCATCCACGTATTTAAGGAAAATATATTCAGCCATGGCCTTTCGCCAAGATGAGTCGGTAGAGCGGTTTTTTAATTGCAGAGTGATATAACCGTTGGAAGATGTCATCTCGTCATACAACTGGTTTAGCTGCAACTGGTTTTCGCCAGTTCCTTTCTCATATCCATACTTATAGCTGGTAACCTTATTATTGTTTAAGTGTGACTCCAAAGATCTCATAGTTTTAATTATGAACGACAAGAACTTATTGGCATTCTTATTATTGACAATGAATAGCTGGTCATCTATAAACTTCTGATACAATAACTTGCCTAATGGAATGGTTAGTTTTAAGCCCACGAAGAGCAATTTAATCGATATAATGACGCACAGTTGCAATTTATCAATCAATATGTCGTTTTCAAGTTCATCATTTGGTAGATCACTATACATATCTCCACCAAGAGGCATTCGTCTGTTCCTAGCAGCTGCAGATAATCCTTCTTGATCATAACATAACTCTTCCCTCAACTGGGTGAATAGTTCAACTTTTGAATCAAAATCTAATGATTCTAAAAGTGATTCAACAGATGATTTGTTGTCAATTGTTCTTACAATCTGGTCAATTTCACTGTTGGCAGCATCATACGACTCCTTCGACATTGACTCGAGATCCAGTCTTTTGTCAAGTTCAGAATCTTCCTTTTTTAATGGAGTAAAACGCATTACATTATTACAAGCTATGCCAATAATATTTGAAATATCCATAAGCTTGTCCTGGAGCTTGTAATCGTACACATCCAACAAACCTATAACGTTTCTTTTCAAGTCATTTGACGGGTTTTGTAATACAACATCAATGTTCTTATCCACCAACTCGTCGAATTTCTTATTTTGTTCGTTAAGATATCTTTCTATTCTTAATGTCTTGATATCGCAATCTTCGTTCTTCTCTTCTACAGTACTAAGCATTTTAGACAGCCCAAATTTATTTTCTGGTCCATATGATTTATTCAGATTGAGCAGCGACTGAATGAGCGTCTCACCAGTTTCGCTATCGTCACTCCTTACTTTATCAATAGTTTCGTTACTCTTTAATCTGTTAATCGGAGACGCTTCAATCGAAAAATCATCAAATGTATCGCAGTAATTTAAACAGCTCAATTCTAAAGTCGAGTCCATCTTGTTACCCTTAGTCGTTTGTTCAGCTCGATTGCTTATTATTCGATTATGAATCGTATCTCGAGGCGAGCGTTCAGCAGAAGTAGTTATTCCAAGTGATGACACTTCTATTTTATCTTCGTTATCTTGTCCAATTAATATCGTTGGGAGATATCCAGAGTACGGCATTTTCCGTACCACCTTACCTAAAACTTCTCTCACGACCATGTTATTATATATGGTATTAGGATAATTGAACGTATTGTAGGACACCCAACAAAAGTGTTAGTTACTTAATTTATTTAGTGTGATAAATATATTTTTAAGGCTCATAAATCACATGCTCACGCAGCAATCATTTGCAACTATCAAGGGACTTATGAGGTCTATAAATGAACGTAATGATGTAAATAATTTATATTCTCTAATTGAAACAAATTTTAGCATGTCATCATTTGTAATCAAGTATATTACCAATAGAGTGTTTAAAGATAACCAATGGACTAGGTTTGGGGTGGAAGATCCGTATTATGAATATGTACCAATTGATGTAAGGAAGAATGAAAAAGTGCAATATAAGAAAATTCCTAGGAGAGTTCCAGATGGATTATCAAAGAACGATGAAACAATATTGCATAAAGTAAAGAAGAAGGCATATAGGTATGACATGTGGTTTTCTTTTTTAGGAATCAAGTTTGGTTTTACTAATGTGGTTGGTATAATTCCGATTGCTGGAACTGTCGTTTCTACCTATTGGTCATTGACTCTTTTACAGACAGCAAGACAATTGGACGATGGATTGCCGTTGGACTTGCAATTGTTGTTTTTGTTAAATATTGTAATCGACTTTTTGTTAGGATTGATACCAATAGTTGGTGATATAATTGAAGTGGGCTATAAATCGAACCTGAGAAACTTTCTCTTGTTGGAGAAGCATTTGACTCGAGTTGGAAAGAAGAACATGGGTATTATTGGAGAAGACGAGGTGAGACCGAACTTCATTAATGATAAAATTCAACCGTTTGTGGATACTAAAGTGAAGCCTGGTGCCATTAAGGCCGGGGAACAAATAAAGTCGTATATACATTCGGGATCTGAATCCCCTAATGTTTCTGCATTACGCTCTCTGCCTGCAACTATACAAACACACCCAACAACAGTGACTACTTCTTCATACGAAAGTCCTCTTTCGCTTAGAGGAGAGAAGAATGACAGGTCTAGTGATGATACTAAGTCTATAAGAAGCTTATCTTCCACCTTAGGTAAAAAGGTTGATAGTGTTGAATCAGATGCAGATGAAAAGTTTTTGTCTCACCATGTTGTCAATCAATAATCTCATTTTGATATCGTTATGGTTGACTGGTATGCCTTAAAAAAGTTTTATAGTGTATAGACTTAGATATTTTAGGCTTTGAAATATATCTCGATTAATTTTAGAATTTTTTTGTCTCACTGTATTGGATACTCAATATTCAAAATAAATACCATTCAACACAATTGTTAGAAACTTAGATATATTCAGAATGGTCGACAAAGACAGCGATAACGAACCTAACAATATACCATATGAATCGGAACAAGTGTCTAATGAAGAGAATGGAAAATTGAATACTGATTTGCAAGAAAATACAGCTGGATCAAACAGCGCAGTCGCTAGTCTTGAAGAAGGTAAGAATAACGACCAAATCGCCTTAGATTATACACAAAATGACACATCGAATCAGCATCAACTTGATGCTAATGGGCATCAAAAAGAGGATAATTCTTTTGAAGCGAACACAAACGATGAACAAGTTAATGGTGGAATGTCCGATCATGATGAAAATAAAGATGCAGCGTCAGGAAAATCAATGGATGGAATATTGAGCGTATCAGAGAATAAAATAGATGGATATGAACCAGATATACTGGAACAAGAATCGAATTCAAGCTTGCACAGCTTGATGACTGCTTGTCAACAGGGAGATCTAACTAAAGTTAGTGAGTTAATTTCTAGTGGGGAAGTCAAAGCGAACGATACGTTTAGTGATGGCATTACTGCTTTGCATTGGGCGGCTATAAACAATAGATTGACTATAGTTAAATACTTAATTGAGAATGACCACTCTAAAGCGGACCCGAATTTATTAGGCGGTGAATTAAAGGCATCACCATTACATTGGGCATGCCGTAATGGGTTAGTGTACATTGTTGATTATTTCATTGTCCATACAGATGCAGATCCTACATTGAGGGATTCTCAGTCATATAATGCATTGCATTTAGCAGTCCATAGTTCAAACATTACATTAGTTATTTACCTCTTGCTCAGCTGCTGTGGATCTACATCTACATCTAAACAGATATACGTGGATGAACCGGACAATTGTGACCGTACAAGTTTGCACTGGGCTGCTTATCAAGGAGACTTATTAACTATTAATGCATTATTGAAATTTGGTGCTGATGTTTCTAAGATTGACAAAAATTTATTTATTCCGTTGCACTGGGCATTCATGAAAGGTTACAAGACAGTCTTGAAAGTTTTAGTAGGCGCAGGATCTAATATATTTGCAAAGAATGACCAGGGTAAGGATTCTTTTGAAGTTGCAAAAGATATGAATTGTTATGATACGTGGATAAAAGTGTTGAAAGAATGTGGTAGGAATCCAAAAAATCATTGGGAAATGAAAACTATCTATTTAAACCCAAGAATCGGCAAATTAATAACGTTCTTCACCCCATATATTATTTTACCGCTCATGTTCAAGATATGTTCTTTTTACGAAGGGTTTGTTGTTCCTAAATTATTTTTTTCCCTGTCCTTATTTGCTGGGTCAATTTATATTTTACAAAAGTTTGTCATACCAACTTACTTGGTAGAAGAGAAAGCAGTTCCAAAATCTCCGCTATTAGCAGGGATTTTTTCAGGTACAGCATTTTGGTGTATTGTAACATGGGCTTTCAATATCGTGCCTACTTTATTCTCCAAGAAGTTTATTTCCAACATTGTTTTGACTGGTTTGATATACTTATTTGTTTGGTCTTTCTTTAAAGCAATGTTTATTAATCCAGGCTATGTTCCTATTCCTAGTGATAATAGCGTCACCCTTGATCAAGTGAAGGATTTGATCAAGGTTGGGAAATTTGATACTGATAATTTCTGCGTCAACACCTTTGTTCGTAAACCTTTAAGATCAAAATACTCCAGGTTTAATAAAAAATTGATTGCCAGGTTTGATCATTATTGCCCATGGGTATATAATGATATAGGGGTCAGAAATCACAAGTTATTTGTGGTATTTATTTACTCTTTGAACTTCGCAGTTCTTCTTTATACACATTTATCTATCAAGCTATTCAGAAATACAGAAAAAAGCAGTGGATATGATAGCGATGATGAATCTCAGAAGTGCTGGTTATTATCAGATGAATTATGTGTGGGTTATAGATTTCATCACTTTCAATTTAACTTAATGGTTTGGTGTTTAATTCAGTATATTTGGATAGCGTTCCTTTGTTTAGTTCAAACCTTTCAAATTTTAAAAGGTTTGACAACTTGGGAATTCAGCTCATTGAATAATAGACTACAGACTCATAATGGTTACAACCATTCTACTTTACCAAAAGACTTTGCTTTAACGTCATCCAATGCCAATAGATATAACTCTCCTAAACAAAATAATGGCTTTAGTATATGCTTGAAATTAGTTGGTTTAGACCAAGTAGTATTAGCTATTAAGTTGGGAGTTAAATCAATTTTCTCGCATACTTCAAGTGTGGAAACTTACGATCCACTCAATGAATTTGAAATTCCAACGGACTATGGATTTAGAACAAATTGGTTAGACTTTTGGTTCATCGGTGAAATAGAATGGAGAAACATATTTTATTTACCAATCGAGGGAGAGAATAATTTAAATCGTACTGTCGTTGATTACTACAAGTTATATGAATACCCTCCAAAACTAGCAGACGTGGATGCTTGATATTTAGAGAATAAATAATATTAATCTGCTTTCAAATGTAAGAAAAATGAATATTTTCGATGTTCTTAAGCTCTAACGAAAGGATAATAAACTTCCAGTCGTTGCAAACATGGGTCTTACAAAAAGAA